TTTTTTAAAATAATAACATAGGAAGAGTAATAGTAATTTTTGATAATAGTATTTTAATAGCAGTGATTTTTCTGATAGTAATATTTTAATTGGAAAAACAATAGCAATTCAATAACAGTTATAGTAACCGGATGACGGATGGCATTAAGGCTGGATTAGTATTATTTTAAAGAATATTTTTTATAATAATAATAACAATAAATATTACACAATATAACAAATAACATAATGATAATAAATAATATATTAGATGTCCAGTAAATGTACATCGAAATATATTATTTATTATTAATATTATTGGTTATTTATATTACTTATTATTTATATAATTTAATGTTTATGTTATTTAGATTTATATTATTTAGCATTTTTGGTGTTTAGTATNNNNTAGATGTCCAGTAAATGTACATCGAAATGTCCAGTAAGTGTACATCGAAATATATTATTTATTATTAATATTATTTGTTATTTATATTACTTATTGTTTATATAATTTAATGTTTATGTTATTTAGATTTATATTATTTAGCATTTTTGGTGTTTAGTATTTTTGGTATTTAGTATTTATATTATTTAGTATTTATATTATTTAGTATTTATATTATTTAGTATTTATATTATTTAGTATTTATATCATATATTATTTATTATTTATATATATTTATTATTTATGTTACTTAGTAGTTATATTACATATTATTTATATTATTTATTATTTATATATATTTATTATTTATGTTATTTAGTATTTATATTATTTATTATTTATATTGTTTATATTATTTAGTATGTATATTATTTATTCACACATAAATCATTCGTGCTATAAATACTATATGATTTAGTATTTATACTATTTACTATTTATACAATTCAGTATTTATACTATTTATTATTTATATCATTTATTATTTATTATTTATATTGTTTATTATTTAGATTATTTATTATTTATATTATTTATGTTATTCACTATGTATATTATTTATTCACACATAAATTATTCGTGCTATTTACCAATAATAATCAGAAACAATAATTCAAATGAATAATTTACCGTTCTCGATTCGATGATCGATTTCTAGCCAGCATCGTCCATACACGAAACGTCATCGAACGTGAATCGATATGAACCAGTTAACTGAGATGATCACATCATATCAACGCAATACACGTCGCAACGATCAAGCGATACGAACCGTAAAATATCAACGACTTATTTGCATCATTCCTAATCATCATCCTACTAATTCAGCAACTACCTACATCATTTACGCTATTGCTAACTGACGATCCCATCAATAAATTATTATATCAATTGCAGTAATCAAATAAAACTATCCGACATCCTGTTCATCTGGTAATGTTGTCATAGTAAATATCGATATACCATGCTCAACATTTCAAACAATCATATCAATATACAATAATACCAACTGAATAAATGAAATGTACCCCAACCCCTCATCCTTTAGGCCATAATCGTAGATTCGTAAATAATATGAAATAATATCAAATAATACTTAACGCCACAACCACCCTACCGCGTCGCGCATCATCAAACATGACAATATAAAACGAAAGTAATAAATATATGCACACTCTGACTGATTACCATTCCACACTCATGTACAAAATCGATGTTTCTTATCACCACTGCTATCAGTCAATTGCACACTCTGTACTCACTTTTAACTCTCTAAATATCTCTCTATCACTTATTCTATAACAATTATTTGTATCCTTCTACCCGATTGTGGTACCAAACTATCTATAACTCAACCCATACTCCAGATCACTATATAATAACAAAGAACATTCTCGAAGATGTATAGAGTGTGCAATCACCAAATAAAAATAACATAATCAACCATTCACATATAAACATCATTTAAAACATACTAAAACAATTTCATATCAACTACAATAATCAAAATACAACAACATTATATTAACATTATAAATGCAAAGTAACAAAAATAGAATTTGCTCCATTCAGTCGTTAAATTGGACTGTCGAAACCTGAAAATAAATAACGTTTCATAAACTGTAATCAAATCCAAACGACAAACAAAACCACAATTTCAAATCAAATTCTCAAAGAACAGTCAACTAAACGAATCGATACATTCTCCAACCCACAACCAAACCTCAAACTCATTTATTTATGCATCAACACTCAACTCACCTCACTTTTATCTATTCCCATATCAATGTGACACTCAAAATCTTTGCAGTTATCGGATAATGAATTTCGAAACATCGATCACGAGACATTTTACTTTACCAATTCAATTTCTCACAACCTCATTCCTTCTCAAAACAGAACCAATCTCGCATCGATTCTATATCCATTATACTAAACTCTTAATAAAAATATTTTACATATAAATCAATCAAATAATAATAAATAAAAATCAATCAAAACACTACCTCATTCGAAAATGCGCCTTCTCG